AAAATATCTACCAATATACCAATGGCAGTTTTCACAGAAATAGAACAAAAAAAATCCTCCAATTTGTATGGAACCACAAAATTCCCTGAATAACCTGTGCAATCCTGAGAGAAAAAAGGCCTAGGTATCCCACACCCAGACTTCAATCTAAAACTATATACTACTACATGCCCTAGCTGGTTTGGCTAAGTGGATAGAGTATCAGCCGAATGACTGAAGGTTCCTGGATTTGATTCCTATCAAGGACACATACTGGGTTGTAAGCTTGATCCCCGGCCGTCATGGTGTGTGCAGGAGGCAAACAATCTACGTGTTTCTTTCACATCGATGTTTCTCTATCTCTCACCTATTCTTCTACTCTCTCTAAGATCAATTGAAGCCTAGCTGGCGTGGCTCCACAGTTGAACATCAACCCTACAAGCAGGCGGTCACGGGATCAATTCCTGACAGGCCAACTTGCTCAGGTTGCTGGCTCAATCCCCACTGGGGATGCACGAAGAAGGCAGCCAATCAATGATGTTACTCTCTCATCAATGTTTCTATCTCTCTATCCCTCTCTCCCTTCCTCTCTCTGTAAAAATCAACAAAAACGTATTTTTTTAAAAAAAAAATCAATTGAGCCCTAGCTAGTTTGGCTTAGTGGATAAAGCACTGGCCTGTGGACCAAAGGGTCCCAGGTTCGATTCAGGTCAAGGGCACATGCCCAGGGTTGTGGGCTTGATCCCCAGTAGAGGGTGTGCAGGAGGAAGCCAATCAATAATTGTTTCTCATCGATGTTTCTCTCTATCCCACTCCCTTCCTCTCTGAAATTAATAAAAATATATTCTTTAAAAATCAATTGAAAAATATCCTCAGGTGAGGATTAACCAATAATAATACTATATCAAAATGGTATGGAATGGGCAGAAAACACACACACACACACACACACACACACACACACACACACACAGAAACAATGGAAGAGAATTAAGGCCCCAGAAATAAACAAATATACATGGAAAACTAATTTTCAATGAAGAAACCAAGAATATAACATGGAGAATACAAAGTCTTGTGAATAATTTGTTGGGAACCTGAACAGCTATATGAAAACCAATAAAACTAAACTACTACCCTAAACTATGCACAAAAAATAACTCAAAGTGAATTAAAGACTTGAATTTAAGACCTGAAACAGTAAAATACATACAAGACAACATAGACACTGAGCTTATGGGCTCTGGTCTAGGAAGTGCTTTTGTGAACTTATATACTAAGGCAAGTAAAACAAAACAAAACAAAAATTGACTAGACAAAAGTTTCTGCACAGGAAGAGAAAACAACAATAAAGGCAACCTAATAACTTGGAGAAGATATCTGTAATGGATATTTCCAAGAAGGGACTAAAATCCAAAATATATAACTTATACAACTCCACAACCAAAACCAATGTTAAAGCATTTTTTTAAAAGACAGACAGATAGCTAACAGGCATGTAGAAAGATGTTCACCGCAACTTATTAGTAGGGTAATGAGATAACACCTCAAATCTCTTAGAATGATTATCAAAAAGACAGGAAATAAGTGTTAAAAAGGATGTAGAGGAAAATGAATCCTTGTACACTGTTGGTGGGAATGTAAATATGGAAAACAGCACAGAAGTTCTTCTAATATCTAAAAATAGAACTACTATATGATCCAGCAATTCTTCCTCTGGGTATTTACCTAAAAATTATAAAAACACTAATTCATAAACACATATAAACCCCTATGCTCACTGTAGCATTATTTACAATAGTTAAGACATGAATAAATCATGTATTCAATGGATGGATTGGGGAACAGTGACATCACACACAGACACCAGCTGGATCAGTTAATAATGCAGACTTTTTTCAATAGATGGAGTTACACATACCTATACTAATAAAAGGGTAATATGCTAATTTGACCGGGAGACCTTCTGCACAAAGCCATGGTGGCGAGGCTGAAGCAGAGGCAGGTTAGGGGTGATGAGGCCAGTGGGGGGGGGGGGGGGGCTTGTGGAGCGGTGTGGTGGGGCAGCTGGGGCAAGCAGGCTGGCAGGGGAGGGTGGAACAGTTGGGGGTTACAGGCCGGTGGGAGCGGGGGGGCAGTTGGATGTGAATAAGCTGGCAGAGATGGGGGGGGCAATTGGGGATTATCAGGCCAGCAGGATGGGCAATTAGGGGTGATCAGTCCAGCAGAAGTGGGGAGCTGGAAGCAAGCAGGCCAGCAGGGGGGACCAGTTAAGGGTCATTAGACCAGAAGGGGGGGAAGTTGGGGGTTTTCAGGCAGGCAGGTGAGCGATAAGGAGCCAGAGGTCCCAGATTGCGAGAGAGATGCCAGTTTAACCAGCAGTCGGACATCCCCCAAGTGGTCCCAGATTGGAGAGGGTACAGGCTGAGCTGAGGGACACTCCCCTGCATGAATTTCATGAACCGGGCCACTAGTCTTGACATATATGCCATTTGATATGAATGCTATTTTGTTGTATTGACAGCAAGCTTCAAAACTTCATGTCAAATTTTCTGAAGGTGTTATCATAGATATTTTTATACTTAAAAATGTCAAATTAAGTGCCCCCCAAAAAGAGCATCTATGGCAAGTTTTAATTCATTACTTCATTTTGAAAAGTGCTGCGAAAAGTTATACACTTGGAGAAGCTTATGGTGAACGTGCTCCATCTCAAGATACTTATGAACGCTGGTTTAAACGCTTTAAAAGTGATGATTTTGATGTGAAAGACAAAAACATCCAGATCAACCAAAAAAGTTTGAAGACCAACAATTACAAGCATTATAGGATGAAGGTGCGTGACAAACTCAAAAACAACTTGCAAGATTAAACGTTGCTCAGCCAAAGATATCCGATCATTTGCAAGCAATGGGAAAGACATTAAAGGATGGAAAATTAATGCCACATCAACTGAACGAAAGACATATGGAAAACCTAAGTCATCAGTAAAATGTTGCTTCAACAGCACGAAAGTCTTTTTTGCATCGAATTGCGACTGGCAATGAAAAATGCATTTACTTTGAGAATCCCAAACGCACAAAACCTAGGTCAACCATCAACATCAACTTCAAGGCCAAATCCCTTTGGAAAGAAGAGAATGCTCTGCGTTTGATGGGATCAGGAAGGTGTGGTGTATTATGAGCTTCTAAAACTAGGTGAAACTGTTAATACTGATCACTATCAACAACAAATAATCAAATTAAACCATGCTTTGATCGTGAAATGACCAGAATATCCCAGAAGACATGGCAAAGTAATTTTGCTTCATGATAACGCACCATCACACACTTCAAAACCAGTTAAAGACATGTTAACAGATCTTGCCTGGGAAGTATTAACCCACCCACGGTAATCACCAGATCTTGCTCCTTCACATTACCACTTGTTCTGATCAATGGTACATGCACTTTCAGAGCAGCACTTCACAACATACGAAGTGGAAAATTGGGTATCTGAATGGGTTGCCACAAAAAGAAGTCTATTAAAAACTTTTGGTTTTATCCACAAATTACCTGAAAGATGGGGAAAATATGTAGCTAGAGATGGACATTAAATAAAGCACTTTTGAAGGTTCTCTTGAAATTGTGTTTAATTACAAAATCCGCATTACCCGTATACCTGATATATACATGACAGACTACTCAATCATAATATAGATTAAATACTGCACTTTGAAACATGGATGGATCTTCAGTATTATAATTGCCCTAGCCCCGTGGTAGGCAAACTATGGCTCACGAGCCACATGCAGCTCTGTGGCCCCTTGAGTGTGGCTCTTACTAAGCCTTAGGAGTACCTGAATTAAGTTAATAACAATGTACCTACCTATATAGTTTAAGAAATTTGGCTCTCAAAAGAAATTTCAATTGTTGTACTGTTGATATTTGGCTCTGTTGACTAATAGTTTGCAGACCACTGCCCTAGCTGGTTTGGCTTAGTGGATGGAGTCAGCTTGTGGACTGAAGGGTAGCAGGTTCAATTCCAGTCAAGGACACATGGCCAGGCTGTGGGCTTGGTCCCCAGTTGGGGGCGTGCAGTAGTCAGCCAATCAGTGATTTTCTCTCATCATTGATGTTTCCATCACTCTCTCCCCCTCCCTTCCTCTGAAGTCAATAAGTCTTTAATAAAGAAAATATGAAACTTACATCAGTAAGAACTGTTACTTTAATAAATTAAAAATTAAACACCTTCCTAAAGTGTGTCCTCTCCTGAAGGTAGAAAAATCAAACACAAATCAATCCATTTTGATTTCAAATGTTTTTTAAAAAGTTTATTTCAAGTATAAAAAGTAATGTTTCAGTATTATCCAAAAATCTGTCAGTTTACTAAGTGTAAAACAAGACTTCTGACAAAAAAAGTTAACAATTAGGTATAAAATACTTAGGATATACTTTGACATTCACAGAGAGCACTTTTGAAAACTAAGTTCTGCCAGTTAGTTTTAAAGACAAAAATATATTTAAAGTCTCGCCTAAAATCACCAAGTCCTTAACTGAAGAATATTTTGCCTCACAAAAGGTGAATTAGCATTTCAAAATAAGATTTTTATAAGAACTCCTTTTAAAATAATGGTATACTTGGTTCAATACTTTTGTAATTCCATGCCTTATGGTTTCCCTGCTAATAGCATTTAGTTTTGTCTGTTACCCACAAATAAGGCTCTCAATGACATACATAACCTAAATCGTAACTAATTCTGACTGAGGCATTTTATCACAGAAATTATGTATATTTCCAACAAAATATTCTGAACAGAAAATAATAAAAATTCATGCCAGTTACAGAATCATAAGAATTAAAGTCTCAGAATTCTTTTAAAGGACTGCTACCAAGGCTTTTGCTTCTCTTCTCCAGATACTTCTGCCTGAAGGCTTGAAACATTGCTTTTGAATCCTTTACTGGGTTTTTTAGTGTCTCAAGTCCATCTGCACTGAAGGTTCTGTTGGTGTTTCTTGAATTAGCCAAGACATTGTCATCTACGGAAACAGAAATTTCATTTATTTACTTTATTATTCTCTTAATGTTAGTGAGCAAAACAGAGAAACAATCTTCTCTGGTATAAAAAATTGGGATGAGTTAAAAGTTTGATGAACTATGGCTTTTCTCAATTAAACAGATTACACACAGAACTTCTTTCTTGCCTGTCCTTTGGGTTGTTTTTCTACTCTCATTGTCACTCCTAAGGTAAGGCTGTTCCACTTCTTCCCTTGCTCAACAAAAATCTAATTTGACATTTGAACACAACTGTGTGATCTTCTTCATTGCTATTTGAACAGCACAAACACCAGTCAATTCCAGTTTTAAAATTCTGGCTTAGGCATTCCATAACATGCCTGTACTTTTACTTCATTAAATGGTTTCAGTGCTGTATTAGCCTCACTATTCCTTTAAATCCTGGCCCCAGCTTTTCATGTGCACTTCTTGATGTGCCTCTTTATTTCACTAATGGTTCACCAGGTGCAAAATTCCAATACTTTTCATCCCAGCTCCAGCCATAACTTTCCACGAGGTAGGTTTTACATTCTGCAAGCCTGGGTGGGTCAAATAATCTATCCTCTTCGTAATTCTTCTCCACCCTCATTCTTCTCATGGGGACAGAATTGCTGCTGCCTTAGGGGTGTCTCTTTGCTGCTTTCCATTCAAGTAAGTTACTTTCTTTTCTACAATACCCAGGAGGGAAAGTTTTATAGGTTGCTTCGACTCTTTGGGAGTCGTAGCATTCCTTATCTCACTTCACATAAGTTCACAATGTTCAGTTCATCTCTCTTCTCTCACGGAGCCTCATCAGAATGAACAGAGGTCTAAAACTTGTGTAACTGGGACTCCCCTCATCGTTAAAATAGATCACTGCTCCCCTCTCCACATATGATGGAGAAATTAGAAGAGCATGTCTTCCAACCAATCACTTGTACAACTGCAAGTCTCATTGTGCTTCTTCCCTGGTTTATGTTTTTTTCCTACCATGATTCTAGGTATTGGTGTTTCACTGTTTATTGCTCATCCTGTTGGTGGTTGTTTTTATCCGTTAATTATCTCTTGCCTGAAGACTGTTGGACAACCCGTGCATCCATCTTCTGAATATTTTCATATTCAGGTATCAAGTATGGCTCTCACCTTCTCTTTGGAGTAATACCTATGTCTCCTCTTTCTATGGACCTTTCTTGCTTTCATTTACATGCTCATTTCTATCACTGTTATTTTTGACTTTTGGTGTTCCAATTTCAAAAAAATTTTAATCTCGGGTCCTTTCTGATTGTTTTCCAATTCTGATTAATAAGAGTTCACTTCTCCTTTCAGTCAACTTTTTCCTAATTGCACAATGTGTATGACTCAATTTCTATAAGTACTTGTGCTTTCAGCCTTTTTTCAACTTTTCATTCTTTTCTGAAAATGTGCTTTCCCTTCTTGTTGCTTCTGGTGAAATTGTTTTTGTTTTCAAGCGACTAAACTATTGCCTTGACATTCAATAAACCAAAACCAAAATAAAACTCCAGAACCCAAGCTTCTACTCCTCAATGCAAAACCCTAAAAATTAACTAGATTCATTCCACCAATTAAACTGAATGTTAAAAGCTCTGGTATTTATGGTTGGTCCTCAGCCCAAATACCTCCCCAGATATAAAAATCAGCATCAGTCTCATTATGAAAATAACTCAATTCCACACTTAGGAAATAGATCACTGCTTCTCTCCCCATATCTTTCTACTACTGATAAACACAAACACTGAATCTTCTGTTTTTATTTTTTCAGGATACAGAGTTTATTCAAAGTCCAGTACATACTGGCCAAACTGCCTTCAACAACATGAACAGAAAGCCTAAGGAAAAGGCAAAGTTGTTATAAAATCACTTTAATTCAGTTCTTTCCACATTACAAATTGTCAGGCAGGCAGTGGAATGTGCCATATAACCCCCACATTAACAATACTGACCCTGTAAACAGCTGGTATAAAAATACATTATTTGTAGCACTATAAAAAAATACATGCTGCACCTCATGTCTTACAATTTGTATAAAAACTTGTATTTATACCCTTGTCCCCACCCATACATGAAAGTTCAGGGTTCCAGGCACTAAAAGGATGGGCCAGTCCAGCCAGCATGAAGTCTGGTCTGTGCAGAGGGAAGACCCTAGGACCTGTGAATGCAGAACTGCACAAGGTAAAGGAAACAGCTCAAGAGGCAGGCAAAAAAAATCCCAGAAAACTTTGGTCCAAAAATTGCATGAAAAAAGAAACCATGCAAGTTCGAAGAACCCTGGACCTCCCAGAGGACAGGTTAGGTGAAAGGCATCTACATCCAGAAGACTCAAGTCTGGGGATTTCTAGAAAGAACCAGGCTTCTCAGTAGCCCCCACTGTGTCTACCCTGGACACTAGATTCTGCTCCTGCAACTTAACTCCAAGGAATAAGAAAATTTAGATTTACACACATACCATTTTTATCATCTTGTTATATAGAAAGTTATTCCTTATTTCTTTTACATATAAATGAAGACTAGAATATTTTGTCAACCGGAAATATTGCTAGGAGCAAATGTCTGCAACTGCATCAAAGCACAATTGAGATTAATGATGAAACAAAGCTACAAGCTAAAGAAGCACCAGGGACACACACCTTCAGGTGTCTCATCACAGGAGGGATATCTTATGCCAGGTGTGGGGAGAATGACATACTTGATAAAAAGGAAGATTGAAATGTGGGTACATCCTGTAGCTGGCAGCTTCTTGCCATGTCAGGTACATGAACCCTGAGGGAGGCAGTCCCCAAACCGATGAGCATTACCACCACCAAGAAAGACCTGCCAGAGCAGTATATGTTAAGGCACAAAAAGGCCAATTGGAGGTTTGGGAATGCCAAAGGGATAGGCTGCAAGAGCAACAGGCAAGGGGGCACCAGGGAGGAGCAGGTATCCTTTCCACGTGTCACTGAAAACCCGAGGCTGGCACCCCATCTCCACAAGATGAGCAAAGTGAATTATATTAAAAAACAGGTAAACTGATTTGTCTTTTAAAAAAACAACTCTGGTATTTTAAGGTCACTTCAGCTGCTTTGAAAGTGGCTGTTTTCTAGAAAGATGAAAGTTGTCAACAGGTATTTTGGCAAAGGTCACCCACAGGTGGTGGTTTTCTCCCAGTTCATAATAGTGCAGGTCGATGAGCGCCTGGATTGCCTCTTCCACTGAACCCATTGTGATCAGCGCCGTGCTCCCGCACTTCTTGAAGAACTTCAATTTTTTTACAAGTCTGCCGTTGCTGGAGAAGAGGGCCTTGAGGTTGTGTGTGGATGTGAAGGGTGGTATCTGGGAGAGGTACAGGTTCTCTGAGGGTGGGAAAACATTCTGGAACTTCTTGGAGCATGCATTCCTGAAGCGGTGCAGGGGTGAGTTGCTGTAGTCTTTGGTGAGGCCCAGGTCTGCCTGGCCCTCATGAAGCAGATGCACATTTTTATACGGGGTGACCGTGATGAGCATAGGCTTTCCGTGCAGCTTATGCCCATTGAGGTGGCTCATGGCCAGCTGGGCCTGGATCCCATCAGCCATCTGCACCAGAGCTCGCGTCTTATTTTTAAAGAAAATCTTCGCCCGCTGGACATCGCCATACACACCGAAAATAATGAAGAGGTTTTGGATTGTGATTCTCTCAGGGTTGAGGTTCTTGACCAGCAGGACACAATTTCCAGCCCCTGCTGGGCCTGGGATGGCAATCTGACCTGCTTCTTTTGTTGATGCCCCCAACACCGAATGGTTGGCCATAGGTGCAGGGTCTGCGATGGCAATCTGGCCTGCTTCTGCTGTTGCTACCCCTGACACCAACGGGATGGCCACAGGGGGCAGGGCCTGGAGCTCATTGGGATCACAGAGGCCTGCAGCTTGAGGAATATCAAGGGTGGAAGGAAAACCAGCTCCTGATTTCACAGGGGCTGACATTATCGGAGCAGCACTGAAGGCCAAGGCCATGGCCTGGTCCTGTAAGGACTGGCTGTCATGCCAGGATAGGTCAGGATAGGTGTAGACTCGGCTCTTGCTGCTGTTGTACTTCACATTGAGGATGGAAGAGGTGGAAAAGCTGACGCGAACTGTGCAACCAAAGATGTTCCAACTGTCCAGAAACACCTTTGCGAGCTCGGCGCTCAATGGTTCAGCAAACTGCAGCAGTGCCTCGAACATGTTGTTCTGGGTGAAAGTGGTGATTTTCAAAACTCTGCCAAAATTGGAAAAGATCTGGTGAAGCATGTCCAGGGAGAATGGGTGGGAGAGGTTCTCTAAGATAATCCTGAGGACTGGGCTCTGGCCAGTCATCACCGTACCTGCATCCACAGCAGCTGCGTCTGCAGGTCCTGCATCATCAGTGCCTGAGCATACAGCACCCGTGCCCACAGAGTCTGCGCTCACAGCTACTGAGCTCACAGGGCCCGCCCCCACATCCACAGCATCCACAGCACCAACATCCACAGCATCCACAGCACCAACATCCACAGCGGCCACATTCATAGCAACAACAGGACCTGCTTCTATAGTGCCTACACCCACAGCACCAGCCGAGGCAGCCAGAGCCACGTTCCTGGACTTTACTGAGTTCAGAGCCTGCAAGGCTGACTGGACCTGTGCCTGGTTGTGTGAGCTGCTGGTATTGAGTTCCTTCTGGTGGGAGAACTGGATGTAGATGGGCTGGCCTCGAAGCATGAGTTTCATGGAGGTATAGTAGTTCACCATGGTGATGGCAGCTTCCTCTGTGTTCATCTCAATGAATGCCTGGTTTCTCCATTTCATCATCAGGAAGTTGGTGACCTTCCCAAACGGCAGTCCCAGAAAAATGACCTCATCCTCAGTGACATCCCCAGGGAGCTTCCCGATGCAGATCACTCTGGAGGGAACACCTGAACTTCTGTTGTCACCTGAGGAATTCTTACTGTTGCCTTTCGTTTTCTTGCTGTCACTGTTCAACTTACTGCCATCACCTTTCAACTTCGCACTGTCAATTTTCAACTTATCACCATGCGACTTCCTGCTGTCACCTTTCAACTTCAACTTCTCCCTATCACCTTTCAACATCAATTTCTCCCTGTCACCTTTCAACTTATTGTCACCATTCAACTTACTGCTGTCACCTTTCAACTTCTTGCTATCACATTTCAACTTCTTGCTGTCAATTTTCAACTTATTGTCACCATTCAACTTCTTGCTGTCAATTTTCAACTTACTGTCACCATTCAACTTCTTGCTGTCAATTTTCAACTTATTGTCACCATTCAACTTCTTGCTGTCACCTTTCAACGTGGTGCTGTCACCTTTAAACTTCTTCCTGTCATTTCCATTTGCTGCGGAAGCTGAGATAGGTCCTGTTGTTATGCAGGCAGAGGAGAGCTCATCAGGTCCCCGCTTTGTACCAGCTGCTTTGTCTAGGACAATGCCATCCGTTGCATACAGAAGAGACCCACGGGAGTTGGAGTGGAGGCGCCGGAACCGAACCAACAATGGCTCTGAGTTACAGACTCCTGAATCATTTTTAAATGAATATGAATAAAAATAAAACTTCACAATAGTACTATAAATGTAATCCAGCTTATATATGACAGACTAACAGAGAAATAAAAAATATTAAATAGTTTGTAATTTTACCTATTTCTTGGTTGGCTTCTGGAATCCTTTTCTCCTCAGGTGCACCTTTTATCCAGTCTTCTTTGGAACTTTTTATTCCTGTAACTATTTAAATATTCATTTTGAGATATCCAGATATTGTTTCCACCAATTTTAGTACTACAATGAAGAAAATTTAGATTAAGCCTAAAAGGTATTATTATATTCAAATTATTCTAAAACGGCTCAAAAGCTCTACCTGGTTTGGCTCCAGGGATAGAGCATTGGCCATAAACTGAAGGGTTCTGTTTCAACTCCAGTCAAGGGCACATACTTCGGTTGTAGGCTCAAAACCCCAGCCACAGTCAGGACATGTGTGAGAGGTAACCAATCAATGTGTCTCTCTCACATAGACTTTTCTCTCTCCATCTTTACCCCTCCCTTCAAATCTCTGTAGAAATCAATGGAAAATATCCTCAGGTAAGAAATTTTTAAAAAAGGGAGGGGGTGGCACCAGGAAAATTCTTTCTCATATTTAAAGTGCCTAATTTCTCAAATTTGGTAAAAAATTTACTTCAAAAGTTCACCTGCACTATGCAATTACTTTCACTTCGGTTGAAAAGCCATCACATTTCAAGTTATTAACGGGCACATGACAAACGTTAATTCACATTGCCTCCACCTACTTTCAATATTAGCATTACTTCCATCCCTCAAATTCTATGCACCTGGTTAAAAGCAGGAAGTGAAACTACCCATACTTTTAAAATAATACATCTCTCTGACCCTCTAAGAAAATGTGCCTATTTCAGCTATATCTTTATGCTAAAACTTAACAGATACTTGTCTGAAAAGCAGGAGAAACATTTCCATTCAGATCCTTCAGTTTTTCAATCTGAATTTTTTCAGCACAATACTTCTTACATAATATCCACAACTCCTGTTTCCATTCTACCACAAATAATTAGTCATCTATTTTCTCCTTTCTTCCTCTACGTTGAAAATTCTACAATTCAGTTAACCAACAGACAAAAGACCTATTTGCCACCCTGCGTTTGATGACATTCTTGCTTCATATGCCTCCCTCTTATGAGTAAAATGGATGTTACGACTGTTTCAAAGATGGCAAAAGCTATCACTAATAATGATTACATATATCCTAATGTTTAAATCGAAATTTCTAATTCAGAGGACTATCATACTGGACCTTGCACAGGGGCTTGCTCCTTCCTAGGACAAGGTTGCAGATCCTTCTGTTCTTCAGTGGAATTTATCTTCTTATTAATCAGTCCATCTGGACATAATTTAAACTCCAGCATGCTTTGTTTTTCTGTGGTATTTTTCTGAGGTAAAGGTTTATTTTCCACTCTCTTCTCTTTATTAATATTTTTCGGCAAACTCTCAAGTTTTGTGAGACAAATGCTCTCTTGCTCAATACATTTAAATGCAACTCTGTTCAGATATTGTTTCCTTTGCTCCTTTGCTTGGGGAGACAAGTGGTTGCGTTCACCTCCATTGTTTATGTTGTTTAAATTTTTATCTAATTTGGTTTTATCAATGAACATTTTATCAGGTTGCTTTCCACCAACTGTTTCTTTAGCATTCCCCAAAAGGTATGATTTAGAAACATGAGAATGGTGAATTTTTGTGTTTTTATCATGGCTTGAACAAATACTTAATGATTCTTCAGAAGTCTGCACACTGCTACTGTGTCTCTCATCTGATTTCCCAGAACTCCCCACTTGCATAGAAAGTTTACTGGACCTCATGGATTGAGAATCACACGGTATACTTTTCTCACAGTTTAATTTTGATGCTTTGACACCCATTGCTTCTTTATGCTTCTGCCTTTGCAAATACTGCTCTAGCGTTATAACAACTTTAGGCAAATTATCCTTAGACGTAGAGCCTAATGATTTAATATTAGATACTGTTTTTTCTTTAACTTTGGCTCTTCCATCGGGGCTTGACAAAAGAGTACACGTTTTCAAAGTACCATCTCCATTTTTATTTTGCTCTTGTTTAAAATACTTCATCTTCTTTACCTCTGAATTAAGTATGCTCCCTTCACCTAACTTCCTTTTTGCTGAAACTTTTCGCTGACGATCACCTGTTTCCAATTTTATCTTTTCTGGCAATAATTTCTGTACAAAAGAACCATTTTTTATATGCAAATCTTTATTTGTCGAGAAACCTGGCTTTGCTTTAGGTGGACTTGAATTTTGTGCTATGATCTTTCTCTGCAAGCTCTCTTGAGAAAACTTTCTTTTAGCACTAGAATGAAAAGTCAGCTCATGAAATTTCAGTTTTCTTTTCTTTTTGTGACATTTTAAGGAATCCAGTTTTTTATCCCCTTTAGAAACAGATGGGGTAGATAATTCTTGTTCTGTCCTTAGTGAGCTATATTTTGGTTCTGATAGATCTTTCATAGTCCTGCCTTGTTCTGTTTCAGAAAAAGGGTTTTTCCCAATCGGAAAAGTCAGCGCAATCTTTGGATTGTTATTTGGAGAACTATTACATACTATGGAATAATCTTTATCAGAAGTACTCTCTACTTGCTTACAACTGCTGGTCTCCAGAGAACACTGATCTTTTCCATTTTCAACCTTTGAAGTCAAGTTATTGATGGACTTACACTGACACTGGGGAACTCCTTCATAAACATTAGAGAGCCAACCCAATGCACAGCAACGGACATCATCTTTCTCTGAATCCATAACAAAATTGGAACTTTCTCCATCTGTATGTACTGGTGAGACACAGTGGATTCCATTTTTTGTGACAGGGTTTTCTTTCTGAGAGTTTGTAAACTTGTCTAATTCACAAGATTGATCATTCTGTTCGGGAAATAATTCTTTCATTTGCTCTGAGTTTAATATTGTAATTTTTATGTCATCAGTTGCATCTTTGGAGTCACAGCTGGTTTTATCACAAGACTCATCCTTTGAGTTTTTGTCCGTTATTTGTTTTGCTGAAGAATCTTCATGTGTAGTCACAGGTTCAATACCATAGGGAAATTCTTTTGAGAGTTCTGAAAGCTGATTGCGTGGGAAGAAAATGGATGTGTTATCAAGAACCTCATTTACTGCAGAGTCCTGGGCAGTGTGATTGCAGGACACATCAATTTCCTGGGGGTTACTGTCCTGATTAAGAGCAGCTGATGAACACATATCTTTAGCTGTGCTTACTTTTTCACTATAATGCTTCAAATTGTTTTCCTCTGGATTTTCACTACTTGAATCAACATTCTTCAAATATAACTCTAGAGGTTGTGGTGACTTTGATTGATCAGGTATTTTATATAAAACATCTGTGTACTGTAAAAAATTATCTTTTTGTAAACCAAGCTCTATCTTTTCAGTGATATTGTCTAATTGTTCTTTTTGTTTTTTAGTACTAATCACTTGGAGATTAGGTAATGATTTCTGTGACTCAATCTGTTCAATAGGAGGTGAGTTGAATATCTTTGCTATTTGATAATTATAAGATGTATCACCTTCAACCAGAGAACATATATTGTCAATCTGCAACAACTCACTACTCACAGTATCATTGTCTTTAGAGTTAGATGAAGCTTGCTGATCACTCACAGGACAGTGACTATTTGGTTCAGATTCTACTGGATTTCCTTGATTGGTATTAGGTGCATCTTCTGAATTACCATTAGTTGACGTATTTCGCTTTTCCTTCTGACTTAGTGGCAAAACCTTATTTGTTGTAACTGGTTCGTTCACTTTCAATACAGCAGTCACTCTTGTGTTTTCTGCCAATTGATTCTGTAAACTACAAACACTGCCTTCTTTAATAACTGGATAGACTGTTTCAGGTAAAGGATCAGGTGTTATTCCATTGACAGGCAATGTTTTGATATCTGAAATTAAGGGTGACACCACAGCAATCTGAAGTTCTGTTCCCTTAATAGTAGTTGCACCTGGAGATTCATAACTTTGCACTGCCATTGGCAGAGTTGTTACTTGTGAGCAGTTTTCCATCTTATTCTGAGAATATCCCACAAGTGAAACTGGAGTTTTATCACAGATTTCCCCAGCTTTTGAGATTCCAACTGCTGTTCTCTGTGTTGTTAACTCATTACACTGTTTTTTCTCTGTAGGTTCAGAAGGGTTTTTTTTCCACAGATTAAGACATGTTGCTAGCAATTCCAAATGACTGTCAGCATTCAAAGGTACTCCAGTTTTAGGGAATTTATTGTCCAGGCAAAAAGAATTTTCTGATACATTCGCGTTTATATTACAAGAGCTTGGAGTTTCCATGGTTTTCAAGTTCAGTTGGTTATTAGTGATTTGGGTATTAGCATTCATTTTAAAACTGTGTGGATTAGAATCCTTAATAGTTTCACAACCATCTTTCATTAACCTTTTCTCAATTTCATCTGAATGTGCAAGGAGACTGATAAGTAGCCTATTTTCATTTAGATATTTTGAAGCGTATGACTCAGAGGCCATAGACTGAGAAACTAAAATTGTTTCAGAATTGGTTTGCACATTTTCTTTAACATTGACTGTATTTCCTGATGAAAACTGAGTATTATCCATAGTTGGCATCTTGAAAGACGTGGTATCTTTTAAATTATGTAACTGGTCTGGCACTGGCCCTTTTCCCAAACACACAGAATTTAGTGAAATCGAATTAACCTGGTTAGAATTCCTGCAATTGGTCTCTTGAATATTAGAATTCAATGTACTGTGCATTCTATTTGTTTCTTCTGCTATTTCCACTGCTTTTGGTGATTTATCCACTGCAGTCTCTGGAGTGGCTGGGGTTACATGTGGTCCAAACTGGGTATTGCCAGTTTGTTTCAGAGACAGTTCAGAATTTTGAGGTGTTTCACTATTAGCCTTAGTACAACCTGCTAACATTAAAACATTTTTATTAATTTTAATTTTCCTTGCCAGTTCAGAAAATTTCTTTCTCATTTCTACTAATTGTTTAATATCCTTCACTAACTTCTCTTTTACAGTATTTGTGTCCAGTACTTGACTTGAAGTCAAATTAGAAAAATCTACTCTTTCTTCTTGATTATTTTGAGGAAGAATCTGAACATCGTCCACAGATCTAGTAGGCTCACTAACAGGCTGATTGACATTAGTATTTACTTTCATGTTACAAAAATTTCCAGTTATACTGACATTTTCATTGAGGTTTTGCTGTTGAAAGCCCCTGCAAAAGTCTTTCCTCATTTCAGAAGTATGAACTTCTTGACTCTGAGGAACTTCTGAAGAGTGATTAATAACATGCTGAGTATTTTGCAAAGTTTGGCTTGTGTACCTACAGTCATAAGGAGGAAGAAGTCTTTTTTCATTCTGAATAACTGCAATTTGATAGGACGGTAAAGATGCAGTCTGCTTTGACTGTAATGTCAGTGCAGAATTTGAATGATTACTATTTTTAACTTGTACTGATGTAAGTTGCATAGTATTTTGTTTCTGAAGAGTAGGACTTTGCAAAAAGCTTTGTGGTGGATAACTGTATTGCTCTGGACGTGGTCTGTAATCTGCATAAGTCAGTCCATTGGATGTATACTGTTGTGCCCAGTCAGCCTGTCGCTCTGATAAAGATGAGGTAAGTCTCTGGTGTCCTTGATAAGTTACAGGAACTCTTACAGAATTAGAAGGGACCGTCTGTCCTTGCATAGGATAGATTTCTGATGTTACAAATTGATTCTGTAGTGCATTTACATTTGGTGGATTAGTTCTAAAACCAGTTTGTTGAGAAACAGCTGCCCCCGTATGAGAAAACATAGAATTTCTCACTGGTGAGTTTGCCCACACATTTTGTGCAACTCCTGGAGACATTTGCAAACTGTTATTTAGTTGATTGGGTCCTTTTACATTTGCATAAGTTTTTCTTTCCAATGAAGCTTGTGAGGCAAAAATTGTCCTACTATGTTTATCAGAAGCAGAGATTTGTTGGGAAGTTGTATTTCTGATGTTGAGAGGTGACTGTGAAACTGGATATGAGTTACTCCGAAACATACACGCAGGATGGTTACTTCCAGGAGTGTTTAAAGGAACTTGAGATGGTGTGTTTATTATACTCGGCTCCAAAAGAGATGACTGTTTTTTAGGATACATTGGTTGTAAGGTGACACTATTCAGTTTAGCATTCCAATCCATTGTTGATTGATTAAAGTAGTAAAAGTGTATTAAAAATCACGTTTTTTGAATGTCAGGAATCTGTAAAAAATAAAGGCCGTTTATTAATAAGCTGTTTGACTGGACAGAACATCTTTTAAAATTAGTTTACCTGAACACCAATGCTGACTATATCTATCGTAATTCCTGAAAATTCAGATTACACCAATCCTCATTTTAATTTCCGAAAGAGAAATAGAAAAGGAGGATGCAACAATAAACATGACAAATGTCAATAATATTTCTATGATATTTAACAGGAATTCATCCTACATTTAAGTGGTGATTACTTTCTGATTTTATTTTTATTAAGTATCTCTTTATTGTAAGTATTCATATTCACTATTTTAAAAAGACAAAGAATGTTACTATCTATCACTACTTTCTATGCACCATAAGGGAATTATCAGCTGTAACACCTCGTCTTTCAGAAAATTTTGATACACTAAAAAACCACTAATACACAGCCCTTGCTGGTGTGCCTGAGTTGATTGTCATGGCACACATACTCAGGTTGCAGGTTTGATGCTTGTGGAATGTTCACAACTTGTTTAATTAGGGGTGCAGATGGAAGGCAACCCCTTGATGTTTCTCTCTCTTCGCCCTTTTTCTCCCTTCCCCTCTCTAGAAAAATCAATAAAAACATATTAAAAAAATAAAAAACTAATATATAAATGAAGACTCATTTTTTAAACAAACAGAATCCTACCAAACTGTCCACAATTTGCCTGATTTTCCTTACTGTACACCTAGGATATCTTATCATTTCACTAACATATCTACCTCATTGTCTGGATAAGATTCTACTTTATGGTTGCACCACCATTTAACCAGTCCTCTATCGACCAAATACAGGTGTACCTCATATTGAAGAGGCTCCATCATAACCAAACTACATAATAGGAAAAAGACAGGTAAAATAAAACTAAACAACCTTATTAATAGTATATCCAACAACTTCAGAATATACATTCTTTTGAAGTGCACATAAATTTTATCAATATTGATCATATGGTTACGCAACAAATAAATCTCAAATTTCAAAGGATTTAAAATGATTCAGATTAAATTCACTGGAAATGACCAAGAAATTATGGAGCAAAGGTAACTATAAATTGCAAAATTATTGAGAAATAAAGAAAGCTTGATACACTTGAAGGGAGAGAGAGAATGAATCTGGCGTCTCTTATTCTACTTACAATGACACCAGTCCTTTTGGATTAAGGACCTACTCTTATGACCTCATTTAAATTTAATTACATCCCTAAAAGGCCCAAGTCAAATACAATTGCATTGGATGTTAGGACTGGGAGTGTGGGAACACAATTTAGTTCATAATAGTCTCATATCATGCCAATGGAGAGGGGTGAGGGGAAAGGGCTGGAAGAAGTTAATGGGGAACGCCAAGTAATACTTCCAAAAATAAAGATTGTTTTTTAAAAAGAACAGAAGATAATTTATAGCATTTATAGCATTAAACAGACTAGAACAAAGAAAGTGGGAAATAATCGGCACATCAAAAGAACTGAGAATAATAAATTGAACCATAGAAATGAAATACAGTAAAATAAACAAAAAAACGAACAAAAATACAGAGATTCAACAAACTCAAGCAGATTCTTTAAAAAAAAACCCAAAATCATTAAAAGCTTCAGTTCTAACAACACTGACCAAGAAAAAACAACAACACAATATTAGAGAATAAGGCTATCACTAAACCATACATTAAAATTAGAAATATCCTATCTAATAATAGACAAACATGGTAATTAACCATACCTTCACTACGTTTCCCATTGGCTAATCAGGGTGATGTGCAAATTAACTGCCAACCAAGATGGCGGCTGGCAGCCACACAGCTGAATTGAGCAGGAGGAAGCCAAGGTTCCCCGCCAGCCACGACCTGGCTCTGAGCTCTGAAAGCAACTAAGTTTCCATTATAGAAGCTAAACAAACCCCAGATACCAGCTTTCAGCAGGCCGTGGCCTCAGAGCAGTGACAGCAACAAAGTTTCAATTATAGAATGTAAATAAATCCCAGAATAAAAAAAAAAGAAAAAAGAAAAAAAAGGAGAGGATGAGAGGTTCAGTCGCCAGCCAGCGTAAAAACGGCCCTCAGCCCCTCACCCAGACTGGCCAGGCACCCCAGTGGGGATCCCCACCCTAAAAGGGGTGTGGCCAGCCTGAAAACAGTCATCAGCCCCTCACCCAGGCTGGCCAGGCACCCAAGCAGGACCCCACCCTGATCTGCGACACCCTTCAGGGCAAACCAGACGGCCCCCACCTGTGCACCAGGTCTCTATCCTATATAGTAAAAGGGGAATATGCAAACTGACCCTAACAGCAGAAAGACTGGGAATGACTGGTCACTATGACACACACTGACCACTAGGGGGCAGACGCTCAATGAAGGAGCTGCCCTCTGGTGGTCAGTGCGCTCCCACATGGGGGAGCTCTGCTCAGCCACAAGCCAGGCTGATGGCTGACAGTACAGCAGTGGTGGTGGGAACCTCTTCTGTCTCCTCAGCACTGCTAAGGATGTCCGACTGCAGCTTAGGTCTGCTCCCCCCTGGCAAGTGGACATCCCCCGAGGGCTCCCGGGCTGCCAGAGGGATGTCTGATTGCCAGCTTCGGCCCATTCCCCCCCGGGGAAATGGCCTAAGCCAGCAAGTGGTCACCCCCGAGTGGTCCCAGACTGCAAGAGGGCACAGGTTGGGCTGAGGGGGACACCCCCCCCCCGCCCCCCGCGAATGCAAAATTTTTGTGCACCGGGCCTCTAGTTTACTATAAGTAACTATATTCCAATACATTCATAATTAGGTGAAAAGATGACATTCCTTTAAAAACACACCTCAGCAGGACTAACATAATACCATCTCTTTTAACATCTTTTCACAAAAAGAAAATGTTAGGCCCATATGTCTTTACTGGAGCATTCTAACAATCATTTATAGAATCATTAATCCAATATAACCTCTTCTAAAGGAAAAAAGAGGGGATAATTTACAACTCATTTAATAACTCTGGCATACCAAAAGCTAAAAAGGAAAATTAACAAGCCAATCTCCATCAAAAAGACAAATGTAAAAATCCTAAGCAAAATGTTAGCTAACTATATGGAGTAACATATGAAAGAATAACACATCATGATTAAATCGGGTTTTAGGCACACAAAATTTGCCATTTGAATATTAACCAAAGTAATTACATTACAATTTTTAAAAATCATGATCACTTTAATAGATGGTAAGAACTTGAAAATATTCAATATCCATTCATTGAAAGAACAATTATATCAAACCAACAATAAAAATTTATTACATTTTGATAAATGCAGCTTCAAAATTTTAGACAGTAAGACAAAGATGTCACTATCATCCCATTATTGGACCAGAAAGCCTAGGAAGCAAAAGCTGAGAACAACAAACCTGACTATACTCATAGAAGTTATATTGAAAATCCAATTGTATATACCTTCTAGACCAGCGGTTCTCAACCTGTGGGTCGCAACCCCTTTGGGTGTCGAACCATCTTTTCACAGGGCTCGCCTAAGACCATCGGAAAACACATATACAATTACATATTGTTTTTGTGATTAATCACTATGCTTTAATTATGTTCAATTTGTAACAATGAAATTGGGGGTCACCACAACATGAGGAACTGTATTAAAGGGTTGCGGCATTAGGAAGGTTGAGAACCACTGTTCTAGACCAATGAATTTAACCGTTTTCATATCATGGTGTACAAACTAATTACTACAATACCCAGGGCACACTAAACATATTTTGCAGATCTGACAAAAATAACAAAGATGTAAGTGTAAGAATAAGCCATACTCAAATATTTGAAGACAAATAAGGAGAGTAATTATCTCACAATTTATCTATAAACTAGAGGCCCGGTGCACAAAATTCATGCACTGGAGGGGTGTGTGTGTGTGTGTCTGTCTGCCCCCTCCCCCCCTGCTGGCCTGTGCCCTCTCATAGTACAGGAGCGCCAAAGAGTTAGGCCTGGCCCACCCATCCAGAGCTCAAAAAACAACAATAACAAAGCAAATTTTTATTTGTATAGATGTGAATTCGGACAAGATCAGATGATAGAATGGGTTGTAGTTTTTTCACTAAACTCAAGAAAAATGAAATTCAAGGTATGCAAAAGATATAAGGAGAAAAATCTATGTATTCCTTACATGTTTTCTCCTAGTAAAGGTCCTTAATAAGATAACTGAAAATCTATCTCTGGTAAAGTCTAGTTTTTGCATTTCCATGTGAAAGGTATAAGACTAAGTACATTGTATTCAAAAGTAGAGACTGCAATAAAAAAAGTCAGAAAACAACACCTTCCCTCTAATTTCAGGGATGCTTTTGCAGGCCTTCAGTGTCTTTTGTGTCCTCAAAGGAGAGAGAAGGGCTAAAATATGCCAAATTACTCAGGTAGAAGTGTAATTCAAAATTAAAAGCAACACTTCTAAAAGTTAGATACCTAATAAATTCTCCCATCTCTGAACTTGGGGGTAGTCTGTAATGAATTGAATTGTGTCTCCTACAAGATTCATGACTGAAGGCCTAAACCCCATTGTGACTGCATTTGGAGATAGGGCCTTTAGGATGGTAATTAGTGTTAAATGAGACCGTTAGGGTTAAGTCCCTATCGCAACAGGACCAGTGTCCTTATAAGAGAAAACACTAGGTGTATGCACATAAAGGGAAGATGACATGAGGTCAAAAAGAGAAGGTGGCTATCTGCAAGCCAAGGAGAGAGACCTCAGGTGAAACCAAACACCTGATTTTATGCATCAAGGTTCTAGAACTGTGAGCCATCCAGGCTGTGGTTATTTTGTTAGAGCAGCCCTAGCAGACTAATATAGAACATATGGGTATGAAGAGAAATGACCTTTCTGAGTAATTTGGCATATTTTAGCCCTCCTCTCTCCTTGAGGACACAAAAGACACTGAAGGCCTGCAAAAGCATCCCTGAAATTAGAGGGAAGGGGTTCTGTTTTCTGAGATTTTTATTGCAGTCTCTACTTTTGAATAAATACAATGTATTTGGTCTTATACCTTTTACATGGAAATGCAAAAAATGGACTTTTACCAGAGACAGATTTCCAGTCTATTGTTTTAATTTCTCTTGGGAAAAGAAATCACTTGGCATGAAAATCTCCCCCTTGCCTGCATTCCTTATCAAACCCTTACCTGTTAAACAGTGACACTCACCTGAAAAACTCCAGTTATGACTGAACATATGAATCTCCTCTACAAAGGAGCAGCCCGTTTTCTGGAGAAAACAAAAAAGAAATCACTTAAGCCAGCAGACCAATTTTACTTCATGAACATAAAGATCAAACTTAACATTGGCCCTAATTGGTTTGGCTGAATGAGTACAGTGTTGACCTGTGGACACAAGGTCCCAGGTTCAATTCCAGTCAAGGGAACATGCCTAGGTTGTGGGCTCAATCCCCAGTAGGAAATGTGCAGGAGGCAGCCAATCAACGATTCTCTCTCATCATTGATGTTTCTATCTCCCTCTCCCTCCCTCTCTAAAATCAATAAAAATATATATTTAAAAAATAAAATAATTTTACTAAGACCTGTCCTCTCCTCCCTAGTACCATACATTCCAAACTACACAGATGCTTCCCTTACTCAGAACATCAGTCAATGATAACGGCGGAACCCGCAAGTAGGAATTCTTCCTGGGGCCACATCTCACAGAACTGAAAAATGAAGCCATGGACCAGAGGCGTTCAAGCAAGGCAGAACTTTATTGCAAGCCAACACAGGGCCTTCCCCAACCCCCCACTCAGGGAAGGGACCCAAATTTAGGTTGCCATTCTATTTGCTAAAAGCTGGTCTTTGTCTATGCCGCTGATTGGTTCCCAGCCTAGAACAATTTCAAAATCTATCTTGCGCGGCTCCTCCTCCTTCTCCCTTCCTTCCTGTGTTTTGTAACGTTTTAGTTACCCTGTCTGCCTAATCCTGCTTCTAACTCCTATCAGCAAGTTGCCCCTACCATCAGATGTATAAAAAATGCATCCTTGGAGAACGCTGGGAAGGAGGTGTCGATGCCTGGCCGAGGTGCGTGGTGAGGAGGGGGCGAGCCCGACAGCCTTGGAAGGATGGAGTGGGGAAGGGTGCGGCAGGGCCGAGATTCCTGGGGTGGGATAGGGCGTGCGTGTGGGGGGGGTGGTTCGGGAAGGGGCGGTTCCCCAGAATGACCTTAGTCCAGTCTACTTCACTCTCCGGGCCTCGGTTTCCCTTTCCTGGCGTAATGGGAGATCAGGAATTTGCGCCTCCGGGAGCGCACTGCTGCCTCCTGGTGCACAGCGGGATCCCCGTTGTACTCCAGCCCTGCCGAGGAGCCCGATGATCAGGGAACAGGCGCAGACCACCCGGACGAAGCAGGGACCCACACCGTCTGCGTGCCCCCATTAGAGCGGGTCCCAAGCCATTTCTGATGTCCCGTTATAACGAGCCAGGCTGCTCCCTTAGACTCATAGCCCGAAGCAATCGGAAACCTAATGAACCCCCTTCAGGTTCGTGGAGGCCCGGGGCAGGTGCACAGGCCCTGGGGGTGGATACGGGAGAAGGGAAGCCTCGGACACCTGCGCCCAGACGCACCTGGGCTTCGTTCCCAGTGCGTCGATGTACTCCCTCCCTGTGGGCCTTCTGGGGGTTGGCCTGCCCTGCCTGTGCGTTGTTTCCTTCTGTAAAATGGAGCTGGCTAGCTTTCCTCCTCCAGGGACTGAGGATTGTGGCCTCATGCATGGCTAGCACTCAGCTCCCTGCTCAGCTCTCCACAGTTGCCCAATAAATGCTTATTGTTAGCATCATGGTGCTTGCATCCCTGCCCCCCCTCCCCACTCCCACCACCAGCCCCAACCACGAGCCCCTGGCACAGAGGGCAAGGGATCACTCACTCTGGCCCTCACCCTGAGTTCTTTGTGAGATGCTTGGCTGCCCAAACTCTAGGCAGGGACCCCACCGTCTCAGGGGGACAAGCCAGTAAAGGAAGGAAGGCTGGAGAGGGGATTGGATTGTGGATAATACCAGGGTAAGGGCGGGAAGAGGTGGCCGGCCATTCGGCAATAAATCGGGCCACCAGACAGTTGTGCTGATCGAAAAGGATAGACCTCAGAACTGGCTTAGCCAAAAAAAAAAATGCATCCTTGTAATGTGCACTTACAATGGTGGAGCTAACCTTCCTCCTATCAAATATCTAATCTTAAAATCCTATTTCCCTTTCTATTATTCCCAGTATCAACTGTTTCGACTACATTGGTTCATTCACACATGTAAGTGTGTGGGTATACACAGACTCTAGGGTTGCCAGTATTCTAAAAAGCACAACAAAAAGGTCTTCTGTCGTGAGTGACACACATAGAGCAGCCTAATTACTTTATGTGTGGAATCAACATCAAGAGATTTCAGAAGCCTAATTTTTTGGTACGTGGGCAGCTGGTGATCGTTGGTCCTGGTGCCCAAGGGGGGTGGGGGGGAAGGGGACAAATAGCCTCACTGAGCCCCACATTCCTCACCTCTCCATCCCACACCAGTGACAGTCTTTTCACTTTGTTAAAAACCACAAATATAACAAATCAAGTTTTAAATGCTTAACATCTTTAAAGGCATAAATAAAAACAACTTTTAAAGTAATCTGCACTTCCATCAAATGATTTTAAAAATCATTAAATAAATTTAAGCCGAAACCGGTTTTGCTCAGTGGATAGAGCATCGGCCTGCGGACTGAAGGGTCCCGGGTTCGATTCGGGTCAATGGCATGTACCTGGGTTGCGGGCACATCCCCAGTGGGAGATGTGCAGGAGGCAGCCGATCTATGTTTCTCTCTCATCGATGTTTCTAACTCTCTATCTATCTCCCATCCTCTCTGTAAAAAATCAATAAAATATATTAAAAAGTAATAATAAAAAATAAATTTAAATGCTACATTAGAAAATATCAGGCCACATGCCTGGGTTGTGGGCTCAATCCCTGCTGAGGGGCGTGGATGAGGCAGCCAAACAATGATTCTCTCTCATCCTTGATGTTTCTATCTCTCTCCATTTAAAAATTTAAAAATAAAAATAAAAGGCTGAATGATATGCTGTCTCCAATAGACAGACTTTAGATACAAATATACAAATAGGTTGAAAGTAAAAGGGGAGAAATGACTATTAATTATCAGACAAAACAGTAATAAAACAAAAAAAAATTATTAGAGATTAAGAGAGACATTTTATAACCACACAAGGATTAAGCCACCAAGAAAATATCAATTATATTCACCTAACAGAGCATTAAAATACAAGAAGCAAAAACATAAACAAGGGAGAAGTAGCAATTCAGATTCCAAGACTTCCATTCCCCCCTTTCAACAAATTGGCAGAAAATAATCAATAAGAAAAATGTAAGTTTTGAACACATTATACACTCCTAAATTCACCTTTCTTTCCCTTTTCTCATCCCTCCCCTCCCCTCACTCCACCACCCATGGTACCATTAACTTCCCCACTCCCAAGCTCTGACCTTCCTTTGCCTCTGTAACTTGTTTCCTAAACCCATTTATTCTAGGAATTACTTTTACAACCTCTGTGATTTTTATAAATAAAGTAGTAACACAGTGCACGAAATTGGTGCACATTAAAAGGGAATTAATTAGAGGAAGTATTTTTGTTTGCCCTTTCTCTATAATAGAAGTGTCAGAGATGAAAGAAAATTAGTAAAATGTATATGGAAATCTTCCTCCTGTCAGAGTCTGGGGTACGCCACAGGAAGCAGAGTCAAGTCCGCGCCCACCCACGTGCACCTCAAAAATCCCACAAGACCCAGACCCAGCCGGCCCCACCCTCATTTGGGCTAGATCCAAACAGATGACACGGCCTGAGGTACCCTGTCAAGACCAGAATATGCCAGAAGACATGGCAAAGTAATTTTGCTTCATGGTAACACACCATCACGCACTTCAAAACCAGTTAAACACACGTTAAAAGATATTGCCTGGGAATTATTAACCCACCCACTGTATGCACCAGACCTTGCTCCTTCAGATTACCACTTGTTCTGATAGATGGCACATGCACTTTCTGAGCAGCACTTGAAAACATGCGAAGTGGAAAACTGGGTCTCTGAATGGTTTGCCACAAAACAAGAAACGTTCTATTGGGACGTTATCCACAAATTACCTGAAAGGTGGGGGAAATGTGTAGCCAGCAATGGACATTACTTTGAATAAAGCACTTTTGATGTTTCTCTTGAAATTATCATGTTTTCTTTTATTACAAAATCTGCATTATTGCCGAAACCGGTTTGGCTCAGTGGATAGAGCGTCGGCCTGCGGACTGAAAGGTCCCAGGTTCGATTCCGGTCAAGGGCATGTACCTGGGTTGCGGGCACATCCCCAGTGGGAGATGTGCAGGAGGCAGCTGATCGATGTTTCTCTCTCATCGATGTTTCTAACTCTCTATCTCTCCCCCTTCCTCTCTGTAAAAAATCAATAAAATATATTTTTTAAAAAATAATAAAAAAAAAAATCTGCATTATTAACCAATACACCTAGTATGCACCCCCATGTTCATAGCAGCATAATTTACCATAGCTAAGATTTGGAAACAGCCTAAGTGGCCCATCAGCAAATGATTGGTGATTACTGTGGTACTTCTATACAATGGAATACTACACTGCTGTAAAAAGAAGGAATTCTTACCATTTGCAACAGCATGGACGGAAATGAAGAGCATTATGCTAAGCGAAATAAGCCAGTCAGAGAAAGATAAGTATCACATGATCTCATTCATTTGTGGAATATAATGAACATAAACTGATGAACAAAAATAAAACCAGAGATATAAAAACATCAAACATACTGTCCAACCTATGAGGGAAGGTGGCGGGTAAGAGGGTAAGAGATCAACCAAAGGACTTGTATGCATGATAATGAGCATAATCAATGGACACAGACAGTAGGGAGTGAGGACATGTGCTGGGAGGTGGGAGCAGCCGGGAGAGGTCAATGGGGGAAAAAGAAGATTCATGTAATACTTTAAACAATAAAGAATTTGAATAAATAAAGACTTATGCCCTAGCAGATTTGGCTCAGTGGATAGTGCCATGGCCTGCAGACCAAAAGATCCCAGGTTCTATTCCAGTCAAGGGAAAGTACCTTAATTGCAGGCTCCTCCCAGGTCCAGGGCCAGGACCCTGGTTGGGGCTTGTGCTGGAGGCAACCAATCGATGTTTCTCTCACATCAATGTTTCTCTGTCTTTCCCTCTCTCTACCAC